CCTCAGAAGCTTTCCATATTGTGTTTTTGAGACAGGGTTTCTCATTGAGATCCAGGGCTTGCTGATTAGACTAGACTAGCTGGCTAGCAAGTCCCAGGGAGCCTCTTGCCTCTGACTCTCCAGCACTGGAATCAGACCCACTTCTTTATACTTACACAGCAAACACTCCACCAACTGATCTCTCTAGCCCACTTGCTTTAATTATTTTTTCTTTTCTTTCTCATTTTTTAAAAGTTATTTTTATTTTATATGTATTTTTGTTTGCCTGCATATCTGTGTGAGGGTGTCAGATCTTGGAGTTATAGTTATTAGCTGCCCTGCGGGTGCTAGAAATTGAACCCAGGTCCTCTGGAAGAGTAGTCAGTGCTCTTAGCCACTGAGCCATCTCTCCAGACCCTCCCCCCTTTTTAAAGGCATGTTCTCTATGGAGTTTTGGCTGGTCTGGAACATGCTATATAAGCCAGGGTGTCCTTAAACTTATAGACAGCTGCCTGCCTCTTCCCCCAAGTACTAGCACTAAAGGCATGTGTCACCATGCCCATGCTACTAATTTCTTAATATTAAAATTAGAATAGGTATAAATAAAATACCAGGGAGGCTTCAGGAAGAGCTGTAGGGGAACATGATGGTATAACCAGTCTTTTAACGGCCCTTCTCACCTTTAGATTTTTGTGGAAGCTCGGGTCTTTGGCATACTCCGCAAAACAGCCAGTGTGGGTTTTCCATTCTGAGACCTTCAAGTTACCTGTACCAGGCTAGTCAGGTCTAGCACAGGCCTGGTAATCTGAGAGGTCACAGAGCCCTCATCCAGGAAGCTGATTTCAGCCACAGATACCTCAAAAACCAAATTTGCTTTTGAAATTTAGAATCAGATGGAACAAGAAATATAGAAAAGTTCCATTGGGGTAAACAAGGGGTTCCTGCCCTCCCAGGAGAGAAGGCCTCCAGCAACACCTTTCTCAGGTCATTTCCATCACTGACACCTGTAGAGGACACATATTCTAGACCCTTCCAGATCCAAAGCCCAGAAATGCTGAAAAAGGGTCATACTGGTGCCACAATCCTAAATTAGCTTTTTGGGTAGAGGAAGAGCAGAAATGTCTGGATTCAAGAGGAGGTTGGGGACCACTGATGTTCCTGCCGTGGTCTCACCTCACAGAAAGAACCACTTGAGAAGGAAACCTGTAACTATTCCATTTGACTATGATTTAACAATCTCCACATGGCTCAAGAATACACGTTCGTCTCCAAGGTACCCACACGGGACCTTAGCTGGGGACTTCGTGCCCAGAGAAATGAGCTAGTCTGTGTTTGCACTGTTTTGCTGACCTAACTGGTGGGCTTGTAAGTTCAAATGACAAGTCTGTATTTATTGCTTCTTAAACTGTCTCTTGGGCCCTCAGGTTGACATGACATGCCCATATCCCAACCCCCCTGTGTTAGCCCTCCCGGGGAAGCTGGGTCCTCTCAGTGGGCATGAAGCCCACATCAGTGGTCCCCAACCTCCTTTTGAATCCAGACATTTCTGCTCTTCCTCTACCCAAAAAACTAATTTAGGATTGTGGCACCAGTATGACCCTTTTTCAGCATTTCTGGGCTTTGGATCTGGAAGGGTCTAGAATATGTGTCCTCTACAGGTGTCAGTGATGGAAATGACCTGAGAGAGGCACCTTCAGTCCTCTCAGCAGGTGACACAGGATGGTCACTCCAGTCCGAGCAGTGATAGCACTGATATAAGACGGTCTTCCAGATCTGAACCCGATCCTGTGAGACAACAGTGTGTGACTGCTTCAAAACCACACCAGAGAGAGTTCACACCTTCCACCAGTGCTGAGTGGGTGAGCATAGACTGGGTGCTGTCCACATTGCCTGCCTCACGGTAGACGGTTTCCCTTTCCAGGGACCTCCCTGTGTTTCTAGTCCCACAGTATTGCTTCAGTTAAACAGGGTTTTCATCCAAGTGCCACAGGGCCGGGCTGCCTGGATCGAAGCCGCGGGCGCATATGCTGAGGGAAGGAGAGGCTGGGAAGACTCACTTTCAGAGAAAGACAGGCTGTCACAGTCCTTTAGTTAAAACGGGCCCAGACTTCTCCCTTCCTTTCCCGCTGGATTTGACCATCAACCGCCATTTCCCTCCCTTCTCTCTTTCTCTCCTCCCACTTTTCTCCTTCCCCACCTCTTCGTCAGTCCCTGTCTAACTAAAATGCCTAGATGACCAAAATACAAATTTCAGTACCCTTACGGGCAGGCGTTGTTCTGGTTAGCACCTTAAGTAAAATAACCAATAATCATTTCATTTTTCTGAGGCACATATAATTGGATCTGGAAGGAAAAAAATCCCAGGGCTCTGAGAAGTGTTGACTCAGGCCTGGATCTCAAGGACCACATTTCATGTGATGGCCCCAGGCCCCCTGAGAGGGATTTTTCCATCAGCTTTGGGGACATTGGACTCTAAAGGGGGTTACTCAACCTGTGATTTAAACTCCTGCGCTCTTGGTTGGTATAGCCACCTGCTAGTGTTTACAGATACTCAAACCCTAGCTTCCGGTGACGGTAATTCATTCAAGGTGGATTTGGTTGTGCGAAATACCAGTTTGCGCTTTGCCAACACAGCCCTCCCACCCAGCGGGTTGAAGGTCTTCACTGTGTCCCTATGAAGTGTCGTGTGGGGAGCCGGCTCAGTTGGTAAAGTCTGCTGTGCAGCCCCCAGGACCTGAGTTTAAACACCAGCACTTGGGAAAAAGCCAGGCATGGTTGCCTGCTCTTCTACCAGGGAGAGGGAGACAGGCGGATTCCTCAGGAAGCTCCGGGTCCCAGTGAGAAGTCGTGTTTCAGAAGGTAGATGGCATCTGAGGAGAAATGACATCCAAGCTTGTCCTCTGGCCTCCACACAAGGCACATGCATTGTACACATAACACACATATCTGCACATGCTTGGTATACACGTATACACACATGAATACATAGCTGCACATGCATAGAGCGCGCGCACACACACACACACACACACACACGCACGCACGCACGCACGCACGCACGCACGCACGCACTCACTCACTCACTCACTCACACACATGCATATATACTAATCATGAAGTATCTGCCCTGGATTCATGCCTAGCACTGGAAATGGCATTTACAAAGTGGTTTTAGGCCGGGCGGTGGTGGCGCATGCCTTTAATCCCAGCACTCGGGAGGCAGAGGCAGGCGGATCTCTGTGAGTTCGAGGCCAGCCTGGTCTACACAGCAAGATCCAGGACAGCCTGGGCTACCAAGTGAGTTCCAGGAAAGGCGCAAAACTACACAGAGAAACCCTGTCTCGAAAAACAAAAACAAAAAAACAAAAAACAAAACAAAACAAACAAAAAAAAAAAAGTGGTTTTAGTTAAAAATGACAATTTTTAGAAGAATTGGAGGTGAGGTTTCTCCTCCTTCTCCCCCCTTCTTTTCCTTCTTCTTCTTTTTTGAGACAAAGTTTCTGACCCAGGACCCTTGGACGATGTCTTCAGCAGTTCCCACTGACTTCCCGAAGCGTGTGTCTCTGTATCTGTGCATCTCTCTGACCTTGCGGTCCTCCGGTCCCACTGAAGGAGGCCACTGGCGCATCGGTGCCGCCCTTGGACTTGAGGTGGGCAGCTCTGGTCTGTGTCGGCATCCTGGGAGCTGTGGGTCAGAGGAGCGGTTCTGTCCATGGTGACCTTGCTTCATCAAGCCGTGGCCAGGCACGTGGGAGTAGTCGTGGCGGAGGGGGAGGGGAAAGACACTTGGTTCAGCTCTTCATGGAGCGCTTTCGTGTGAACCGAACGGTCTCCTCTCCTTTGCACTAAAAATGTAGCATCCCCCTGGGCTGTATGTGAGCGAGCACACAGGACTCCTAAACTTTCCCTCTGACGTGGAGAAAGGCGTCCGTCTCTGTGAGGCACCGTGAGACCCAGCCTGGGGATGAGGTGTGCTGAGAGGTGACCATGAGTCAGTCCTGGCAGTGGGTAAGGAATATACTAGACCCAGCTCTCCACGGCCTTGTGGAGGAGGCTGCAGCTTGGCCTGCTGAGCCGGAAGTCCTGACACCTCTCCTCTCAGAAGCTAGCTGGGCACTCAGGTGACTTGGCCAGGGCCCTCGCCCATGTGAGGGTAGGCGGGAGCACCCTGCCACCAGCCACCTTGTCTTCCTCCTTGCTCAATCCTTTTTTGCTCCTGCAGAGCCGGTCCTGGGTTTTACCTGACTCTTTCCTCAGCCTGGGTTGGGTCAGGGACAGGGATTCAGCCTTCATTGCCCAGATCAGCCTGGGCTGGGTGAGCTGCTGCTGCTGTCTGTGACCGGGAGAAGGCAGGAGGCTAATTAGTCCGCGTTTGCCACGCTCTTTGAAGACACTCAGAGCTCATGAAAGCCGGATCTCACCACTGTGATAACAATGGGCTTCTCTGGCCTTAATGTTCTCTCCATTTGGAGGCCTGGCAGGAGAGTTAAAGAACTCCTCCCTCCCCCGGGTGAGAGCCTGGTGGGAATAGACAGACAGGGAGGAGAGGGAGGGAGAGGTGTGTGTGTGTGTGTGTGTGTGTGTGTGTGTGTGTGTTATGTGGTATGGGTGGTGTAATGTGTGTGTGTGTGTGTGTGTGGTGTGGTGTGTGTATGTGTGTATGTGTGTATGTGTGTGGTGTGTGTATGGTATGTGGTGTGGTATGTGTAGTGTGTGTGTGTGTGGTGTGGTGTGTGTATGTGTATATGTGTGTGGTGTGTGTGTGTGTGTGTGTGTATGGTATGTGGTGTGGTATGTGTAGTGTGTGTGGTGTGGTGTGTGTATGTGTATATGTGTGTGGTGTGTGTGTGTGTATGGTGTGTGGTGTGGTATGTGTAGTGTGTGTGTGTGTGTGTGTGTGTGTGTGTGCGTGCGCAGCGGGTATATTGTGACTGTTGTGTGAACCTGGTGGCTGTGAGGGAGGACAGAGGCCCTTGCTTAGGTGCCGGCTCTGCGGCAGCAGTGAACTTTTGTTCTTAGAACGCCGCCCACACACGGGCGCTGCCAGGAGCTCTGCCGCCCGCCCACACAGGATCAGTCAGGCTGACATGAAAGGAACCAGGGCTTCCAACCGACTCCGGGATTTGAAGTTTCTTTTTCCCTCCTCTGGAACAGCTTGAAATCGCTTCTTTTCTTTGTCGGGATCCTTGGAAAGCTTCACTCTTCTCGGCCCCCACGGCACTCACCTCTGCCTCCCCCCCCCCCCCGGGGCCCAGGGGTCCAGAAACCGTGCACCCTCACCATCGGGTACCTGGGCGGCTGTTGCCACCCAGTGCGCTGTGGTCACCTTGCAGAGTCTCTCTGAAGCGGGGCAGAGGCAGCCTGCATGGCCTGCTGATGAGGGACTCGTTACGAGGGTGTGGACCAGAGATGGTCCTTCACGCAAACAAGGAGCCGGTGTCCTGAGCAAGGTCCCCTCCTGCTTCCAGGGCAGAACAAGCCCGCTCGGCCCCGTTTTCTGGGTTTAAGAGTAGACAGTGACACTTCCCACCCAAGCTCCAGGTAGAGAAAACAGTGAGGGGGCACAGGATGACAGTTCAGGGGACACTAGGCTGTTGGACACACTCACTGCCGCCTCTGTGTGCTGGCTGGGGGCATGGGTGGGGGTGGGGTGAGGTGGGAGGGGGGTGGAGGGGAGGGCTTTTTTCTCACACCCTCCGTTTCCTGAGGTTCCTTCCCCTTCACTGGCTGCCAGCAGCCAGCAGCAAGCTGGTCTGAGGCTTTCCAAAAAACTAAGGTCTTGTGCTGGATTGCAGCCCAGTGGTTAGAGCATTTGCCTGGCCTTTGTGAATCCCTGGGTTCCAAACCTGGTATCTTCTTTCTACAATAAGATGTCATTGGCATCCCATAATACCACTTTAAGCATCTTAAGGAACACAATCCAGTGGTTTGAAAAATTCATGTTGTTGTGAAAGTCACTGTCTAATTTCAGAACACTTCTCTGGCCCCAGAATGAGCTCTGTGCCCACCAGCACGAAGTCCCCATCGGCCACCTCCACTCTGGGCTCTGGAAGCCACTAAGGGCCGGCCTGCTGGAACAGTTCACAGATGTGGAATCCTGATAGTCACCCTTTCATCTCTGGCTTCTGTGGCTTGCCAACTGCGCTGTGGCATGCACCCGAGCTCTGTTCCATGTCAGGTTTAATAACTAGTTCACCCTGTGGCCAGGATGCTTTTTCACTTCGTTTTTTTCTCATCAGTGATGGATGGCTGTGGCCTTTAAGTGCCCTTGCTTTGTGGGATCCACCTTTTCCCTCCGTCCTCTTAAGAGCTGGTAGATTCGATATAGCATGCTGATAGTCTCCTGGCTGAGAAGGTCCCGAGGAGCACCCGAATGCTGGGATATCTGCACCATGACTTTGCTACGAATATTTGTGGTCCTCCAGAAGTCTTTTGCCTCAGTTTTCCCTATCTACAAAATCAAGGGTTTGATTCCTATGGTCTCTAAAACTGTAAATGTGGTGGCTCAAGCTAGCAATCTCGGTTCTCAGGAGACGGAGGCAGGAAGATCTTGGGTTTGATGTCAACGTGAGCTCCGTGGACAACCTTGTCTGAATTTCCCTTCTACCCAAAAGGCAACAGGCAAGCAAGTCGTCTGTGTGGCAGAGTTGCAGACCAACAGGGTTGCAGACCAACACCAAGTCTGTGTGGCCGAGTAAGGCAAGCCGCAGACCAACAAGGCTAGGTGCTTCTGTAACTCTGACCATTGTCTAATCTGCTGCCCTAACAGGAAGCTGTGCTGATTGACAGGGAAGAATGGTGGACCATCTGAGGGAAGGGAACGGTAGAGATGCCATGTCTGGCACTTAGCTCTCAAACCTGGCAGAGGAGCTCTTGCCAGGGAGGTGCTGTCCAGACTGCACATTTATAAGGGGTTCTGGTGCATGTAACCTGTCTCCTGCATCATCACTGGGACGGGCTGCCAGCATAGCCTTTGGACTTCAGGTTTTGGGTATAGGAGTTAGCAGCTGAAACACTAGAGGTGAGGACAGTGTAAAAGCTCCGAAGTGGCCTCTACACCGGACGCTATTCTGCCAGCCAGAAGCCTGAAGGAGCAGGGATGGGACAGTGAGATGTTCCAGAACCGTGACATGTCCAGGAGAGCTGGGGATCTGCTTTGTGGGGAACAAGACAGAGATGGATGGCCACACAGGGAGTTGACATTCACAGAGATTCCCAGGTGGGTAGAGCCAGAGACCGGTGGCAGCAAGGGTTGTAGGGGAATGGAGAGAGGTCTGGTAGAGATTTAGGATCCAGGCGCCATTTAATCCCAGGTGGTGACCAGGAGATGCAGCCAAGACTTCAGGGATCCTCTCTGTCTGTGACTTGAACCCATGAGCTTAGACTGGGTGTGGCAGGGAGGAGAAAGGGAGGAGCCAAACCCTGAAGGCTTGGGGTCAGGCTTCCCTGGGCTTACCAAGTGGGTGGCCTCCTGGGCCTGGGAGTTTAGAGTATGCAAATATAATGCTCCCTTGGTCTATGAAACTCTTGGGAGGTAAATTAATTTCTGAGGCAATAGGGCATCAGTCTGAGGCAATGGGCTGTCTTCAGATCCACCTAAGCCCTCATTTGAATCAGATAGGGTGATTCAGAGTAATTTGAAGACTCTTTGAAAGCTTCTTGCTTTCTTCCCGAAACACCAGGCTGGTGCCAGGCACAGGGCAGGGCTCCGCCTGGAATTGGTGTAGCTGGTTAGTATATTGTCTTTTACATCCTAAGAATGCTGGGAGGAAGTCTGTGGCTGTCCACTGGTCCTAGGCCCCTCGGGTCATTTCTTCACCACCACTGCCTAGGACTTCCTTCTCCAAGAAGGATGTTTGTGGTCTCTGAGTCTATCGGCACTGTCTCTGCATGACATTGCCAAGGTCATTGGTCACCTCCTGCAGATCCTGGTGGGTTGGGGCTTACATAGGAAGATAGACAGTACATCCAGGGCCATGGTCCTACTCTGCAAGGGAATGTTTAGAGGGAAGGCCTCCTGACATAGAGGATGTCAGGTGACCCGATGCAGATGGAGCTGGGTGACATATCACTCTTTTTCTTTTTTTTTTTTTTTTGTTTTTCGAGACAGGGTTTCTCTGTGTAGCTTTGCGCCTTTTCCTGGAACTCACTTGGTAGCCCAGGCTGGCCTTGAACTCACAGAGATCCACCTGGCTCTGCCTCCCGAGTGCTGGGATTAAAGGCGTGTGCCACCACCGTCCGGCTGACATATCACTCTTAATACCGTGATCTTCTCTGCTAGTCTCAAAAGGGTCTGCTTTTTGGGAAGGCTCATCCAGAGACACCAGCCCTTGCAGGGCTCACACATCACTTCCCCCAGCTTGTCTCTAGGCCCAGAGTGGCCTGGCTTTGCCGAGAGGAGCCAGACAGTTGGTGCTGGGCCACATGGAGTGTGGCATGGGGAATGGTACACGTTCCCCAGGCTGCGTGGATCAGGGTACCCCGTGCTTAGGAGACACAAGAACAGACTAGAGAGGAATCCCCTGGCAAACCTCTCCTGATCGGAAAAACTCGATTCAGCCTGTGCCTGCCTGTCATGGTGCTGGTGGCATGAGGTGTGGGTTGCTTTGGAGCGTCTGAGGAAGCTTTTCTGCACAGCCCACCATTGCTCTCCTCTGCTAGTCAATAGGATCAGTGCCACTGCTAGACACAGGCCTCTGGGACTGGGACATGATGAGCCAGACCCCCAGCTCATGTCTGCCACAGAGACAGCTCAAGCCTGTATCATGCTGGATGGCTCACCAAGAATTGCAGCTCCCGTGGCATCCAGCACACAGCTCCTGTACTGGCCTCACTAGCTTCCAGTCTCATTAGAAT